ACAACACTCTAGCAAACACTAAGGGGCATGGCTTTTTTGTTGTATCTTTTACTGGAACAACTGTATAATGGGGAAAGCTGCTGGACAAGCTTTCAGGATCAGGTGCCCTTCCTCAGCTCTGAATAGCTCTCTGAACAGTTGGTCCAATATGAGATATCACAAGAAAGCCTTGCCTCTCAGACATTTTTTGGACCATCATGGCTACAACAACCTTCCAGCCCTACTATAACAAACTCTACACGCTTTTAATTCTTGCGCTGCAGGCACTTTCACTGCACAACCATTGTTTGCTGCCAGACACCGGTGCTACTTGGATGTTGGCCTATCTATGGGGGAAATAAGTGGCTACATAAGTAGAGTTGCATTTTACCCACTGCTGGCAACAGGTTAAACAGCACTAAGCTCCCTCTATGCTTACAGTTATCTCTACGAGATAACCAGTACCTATGGTATTGGAAATCTGGGTGATGGGTGAATGTGAATCTGGAGATTCTTTTTCAGTTAAATTTGATTTCAAGATGACTCGAAGTTGTCTCTTGCTGGAAGTTGAGATTATTCTTCAAGGGTGGCTTAAGCAATCATCACCCATTGGCTTTAGGTTTATTTGATAGGCAGACAAGGTTCCTTGGGTGAATCTGATATCTTTTATTAGACCAACCCAAATGGTTGGAGAATAGTTATTAAGCAAGCTTTTGGGTTCAAAACCCTTCGTCAGGCTAAGGAAGTTTCAGCAGTCGGTGTGTGCTCTTCCTGGATGGAACGAAAAGTAAAGAAGCCAGCGGCTGGGCTGGGCTGCATACAAGACAGGTAGTCAGTTTATTTGATGGCTTAGTCTTCTTGGCTGAAAGATATTACAAAAGTGACCATGGAATGTCATTTATTGATCCATGAGAAACTGATTCTATCAGAGCTGGGAGACAGTCTTCTTGTGTTTCTGTTTTTAAAAAAGAAAATCCTTCAAGAATGTATACACGGGAACAGATTGCTTGTAAATAGACCTGCCTTCTATAAATCGATCGTGTACTGGAGGCAGCAAAAGCTTTTCAGACCACTGAGCGGTAAAAGGTACAACTGCTGGATGTTGTAACTGCTATTTGCAACTGTGGCTTTGGCATTCAGAGGAAATCTGAGCTACAAGGAGTCTCAAATTAATACTAAACTGTATGAGTGACTTGTTAGAAACCACTTTTCACTTGTTAAATCAAATGGGTCTTGAGCTATCATGTTTCTAGTACACGGAAAAACTGTTAGTGAAACAAAAGTACCAGCACTTAAGTTACTGTCTGATCCTGCAACCCTGGATAGCACTTAATTACGTCGCTGAACCACATGGGCTGCAGTTCAGCAAAACAACGGTTAATAAAGTCTAAACATAGGGTCCCCTGCACCCATCTCACCGACTTCAACCAAAATGAACCTGTCAATAATGCCTTGGGAAATTTTACAGAAATACAGTGCTACTGTTAGAGGGCTACTGTTGTAACTTCTCACAGGAAACCTCTTATTCCAGAGGGAATAAACCTCTTTCTGGTTTAATCAATGCCTCTTTCAAAGCTCTGTAAGTTGAGGCAGAAGCTGGCATTCCAGATAGGGAGTAATGCTGGTGTAATTATCCTAGCATAGTTATGCTGGTAAATCTCCCTGTGTAGACAAGCCCTCAACCACTGAAGATTACAGACCTTAAGGGCTGTTTGAATTGCCACAAACAGATAAGCAATGAGAATAAAAACTCTAATATAAAGAAGCAATTGCCTCTGACCCAGCTTTACAGCTTTGTTATATTTCTAACAAGGCAAAGGGACAAAAAACCCAAGCCAAGTTCTGAAAACATTCTCAAGGAAGGTCAATGAAAAAAGAATAGATGATGAACTCTTTTAAAAACTCACTTTTGATGGCTGTGAGCAGGGGACACTCAACATCTAAAATACCAAATGCAATCACAATACATTACCATAAAGTGCATCTGCATAAAACAGTGTCCACAGGCAACTGGAGTTTGCATGAAATCATGGGTGATGTCCAACAACTGTACTTTAATAGGGCACAAAGCTGACCTGGGTTCTCAACAGTTTTAGACTCAAGACACCCCTTGGAAAACTCTTAACTTTCACACATTTCTTGACCATGAAACAACATGATAGAGTCATTCTTCTGTTGCAAAAGACTCAGAAAGACCACTACAGGTCAGAAGTTGATGGATATGATGGATTTCTATTTGAAATTTCTTGGTTTATCTTGTGAATCATGTGTAAGTGTTTGCATACCTAATGGTGCTACTATTATGCGGCATTCTGCAGCACCCTTAAAAGTATTTTATGGCAGCATGGTTGAGCATTACTGGTCTAGTGTGATCCCCTTATAGGATCCAGTCTTCATTACCTTCACTCAGAGCTCATGTGGAGCAAAACCATACTCTGCAAACCAGCCCACTGAACTCAGAGAGACTCCATGAGGAGTGAGGTCCTATGTTGAGGTCTAATGCTGATGCATTAGAATGTGGTTTTAAGATCCCAGAATGAGATTCGTCTCCTACAGGAGAAGCAGTGGGGAACATTTCCCCTGAAGAAGATGGAGTTACTTTGGTTTAAAGCCAGCATATGTAAAAGGAGAGCTGGGCCTGCTGGAGTGATCCTAGATGTATAATGGTTTAACTGGGATCAATAAGAGGTCAGTAGGAACTAAAAATGGTGAGCAGATAGTGAAAGGTTGCATATTTTTTTCTTTCTTTTGGCTTTTCTGGCTGTAGCTTACAAAAGTTCATGCCTTCCTGAAAGAGCCAGTCCTAAAGGTCCTGCCCAGCCCTGCCTTCTGCTTGGGTTTAAAAGTAGGAGAAGATAAAGGATCAATCTTTAAAGCACCCTCTAGTCTGGGGGCCAAAGCATGCCTGCAGGTACTTGCAGGGATAGATTTGCTGCTTCCGTTTCATGGACTGTGAAGGTAAGGATTTCATATGGGTTTTCCATCTAGCTGTGTCTCAATATCATTAGCTTTGTTCCCTACCAGCTCGAAAGAGGAATTTGCTGGCAAGCCCCTGCCCGTGCACCTTTAATGCTGTATGTGCTGTATGTGCTTGTTAAATCCCAGCACAGCCCTTATCGATGCAAATCGTGATGGATGGGCTTACTTTAAAACTGTGCACAACAAGAAGCCTGAAAGATGAAAGAAAAGTTCCATTCCCAGTTGACGCTGGTCTCAATGCACTTTCTGGATAGATGGAAGGGTGTAGAAACAGATAGTCACAATTATTGGTACAAAACCTGTGTGCATGCATAAGCTTAATGCAATTGCTGAGGGAGTGAGAAAATCATGAAGAATGCTGCATTGGCAGACAGACCACTGCATACTGTGTCTGCATCCCTGAGACAGGCTGGGGCTATTAGAAAGTACCACTGTCTTCTTCAGCGGAGTCAGGACATATAGAAGGGGCTGGCTTTACATCTCTGGAAGCTAATGGCAAAATAACCTCTTGGTACAAGCAATCTCTTTGGTACAAGGAATTCTTCACTTCTGCTACAGGCTAGCTGTGACCATTGTCCTGAATATTTTATTTTATTTCCCCAAAGGCACATCACAGACAATCTCAGCTCATGCTAGAACTCAGCCCCCCGCTGCTGGCACCTGGACATTGCTGAGTGAAGGCTTCAAGTCTCCATGGCTCGGCTTCACTACAGAGCCTGCCAGAAGGAGGGGCATAGAAAATCAGAGTTAAGGACACTTGTCCACACAGGCTACAGAACAGCTGGTAGCTGGCACCCGGTTCTGGATATCACCACACTGCTAGCCGTGAAGGTGGCAAGGTTCCCTGTTCCCATTTCAAGTGTCCTTTGCCATTCTGGTGTGAGAGCCTGGAGCAAAATGGTGAAGAGAAAGTCAACAGGGATTTATTATGGACTCTCTCCCCCCAAGCAGAAGAACTAGGGGTCATGAAATGAAAATAGCAGATAGTAACATTAACATTAACACTAACACAAGGCAGTTCTTTGTCACCCAGTGTGTCATTCAAGCGTGGAACTTGTTGCCACCAGAGGTGGTGGAAGCAGTGCCCCATCTAGACTCCTGGCGGCCCTGGGTGAACTTTTAGTATCGGACCCCTCTTCACCAGAGGTAATGACTTTGTTGTTGTTGTTGCAAAACTCTTTATCACATCTGTGGTACTGATGTCTTGAAACAGTTCATTCTCAATTGATAACATTGCCAGTCCCATATATGTGCAATATTAACATTTTTTTTTGTAATTGTAATTTTTTCCTTTCTGTCGGCCACCCGGTTTGCCCATGCCTATGTCCAGGTCTGGGTGGAAGCTGAGAGTTTAGCCAGATTCACAAAGGGATGGGGGACATTTTTGGAGGAGAGGGGCATTGGTAGCTAGAGAGCCTGAGAGTGAAGAGCACAGCCTGGGAATCAGACCCTCCTAGAGCTTCAATGCTGGAGGCTGCGGGTGAGACACAAGCAGGGGGACAAACCCTGGTCAGACCCAGCTCAGCCTCCCTTCCAGCGTCCAGTGTGACCCAGGAGATTGGGCAAGACGGACCCACGACCTGGCAGGTCTGCAAGTGGGCACGTCCCGCAGGAGCCTGCAGCCTGGGGTCCCCAAGTGGCAGCCCCCTGCCTCCCGCAGCCCTGTGCCATGCATCCAGACAGAGCCGGGCGGTGGGGGCAGGCAGCTCGCCAGGACCCAACTCACCGCTGCAGCTGGAGCCCTTGCCCAGCTCTGCAAGGGGGTGCCGGAGAGAGGGCAAGGCACGGCCCCATCTCGGTGGCAGACGTGGGAGCAAGCCCCGGTTGCGCAGAGCTCCGTGCACGGGCACCCCCCGCCCGCCGCGCACATCTGGGCAGCGGTTGCCGCAGCTGCCTGGGGCGGCTTTGCAGGGGAGGGGCTCCGGCGGCTCGGGGCAGGGGCCAGCTGGAGGGAGAGGGGCAGGGCTGGGGGGCGGGAGGCTCTGCCCATCTTCCTGACGCTGCCGCCCAGCCCATATATAAAGCCCCTTTGCCACGCCAGCCCGGCTCCGGGACGCGGCTCCGGCAGCAGCGGGCGCGGATCGCGGTGCCGGGAGCGAGGATGCTGCAGCCCAGCCCCGGCCCCACGCGTGTCTGAGCCCCGTGGGATGCCCCCGCAGCCCTGAGCCGAGGATGGACGACATCCTGGAGGTGGAGGGGGACCTCGCCTACGCCCTGTCCCACAATGGCACGCTCAATGGGACGCAGGACAACCAGTTTGTGCAGCCCGCCTGGCAGATCGCCCTCTGGGCTGTAGCCTACGCGCTCATCGTGCTGGTCTCGGTGGTGGGGAACATCGTGGTGATGTGGATCGTCCTGGCGCACAAGAGGATGCGGACAGTGACCAACTACTTCCTGGTGAACCTGGCCTTCGCCGAGGCCTCCATGGCCGCCTTCAACACGGTGGTGAACTTCACCTACGCCATCCACAACGAGTGGTACTACGGGCTGCTCTATTGCAAGTTCCACAACTTCTTCCCCATCGCCGCCGTCTTCGCCAGCATCTACTCCATGACCGCCATCGCCATGGACAGGTGAGGGCTGTCGCATGGCGGGGCAGGGGGGTGGCAGCTGCCAGCCAGCCCCACATCTCAAGTCATTTGCCTCTGATTCCTCACTGAACAGGTAGGGGGCAAGGAGGCAGCAATGTGGTACCTGCAAAGCCCCCTGTTCAAGGGGCAGAGCTGGCATTCTGCATGGAGCTGGGTTTGGGGATGGAGCTGTGGGGCTGCGGACAGGTCATAAGAGCTGGTAGAAACCCCTGCCAGAGAATACCCAGGTCACCAGCAACCCTGCCTGCCTGGCCAAGTGCCCCAAGTCTTTTTGCTGTCTTGGTACTTGGTTGATTTTCTTCCTAATTTGGGTACCATGCACGCAGAAAGCAAGAGAGGCACTGAGCTAAAAGCATGCCTGCTTCCTGCCTTTTCATCTTTTTACACACACACACACACACACACACCTTTTTGTACAAGACAGGAAGTGTGCAACCCCTCTGGACTCCCAGCTCACCTGGTGATGCTCTTGGGGAAATGCTGTTAGCTTAATGCAAAGGGGCTGTTTTACAGTGCCGCAGGGAAGGCTGTCTGACCAAGTTCCTCTGTGTAGCCTACTATCGTTATCACCATCATTGGAAATCTAAGGGCTGTCCCGCTGCTGTTTCTCACTGGTTTTAAAATAGTTAACTTTCCTGGATTCCTTCATTTTAACTCAGAATCCATGCTTAATGCACCATGGTGTATCATCTAATGATGCTAAATGTATCTGAACATACATTTAACACATGCATGCAGGGGTAGGTCTTAGAGATCCAGACTATTTGTCTGATTTCATTTGGAAAGAGCTAAGTAAAAACTTCCAGGTTTGCCTACTCTCTTTGGAAAAGGGTCTGTTGCTCTCTGTTCCTGCTTCATGTTGTTCTTAGATGGGTGCAGATTTCAGAGCTGAGTGGAAATTGGTTTAACTCGAATTGACAGGCTCTGTTATGAATTGTCTTGCATCTGTCCTGCAGTTAGTGCAGACTGTAGCGAGCAATACACACCTGTTTTCTCTGTGGCCGTGATATGGGGTTACCCAGGTATCAGTGTATATTGCTGGCATTTTGTTTTTTAATGAGAAATCCAGCAAGTGGCCAGCGCAGTGCAGAGGCAAGGAAGACTACATTCACCCAGGCACTTAGCCTAGGTTGGTGATGAAGAGGGAGCAGCAGTGGTCCAGTGGTCAAAGCCAAAGAGTAGAGGATGGGAGTTCTTCAGCCCCGTATCACGTCCTTCATTGATCTGTTCTGTGACCAGGGGGGAAATATTTCGTTGAGACCACTGTGTTCTAGCATTTTCTCTTTGGCCCCTCTTTCCAGTCTCGTGATGTCAGTCATAAGAAACAAGATAAAATCAGACTCTTCTCTCAGATATGGACTTATTGGCTAAAACATGAAATGGAATTGAAAAGTAAAGTGCAAAGTGCTAACAAAATTTTCATCAGGGAATTTACCTCCCTTACCCCCAGTTTATGAAAGGTACTGTCACACAAGGCTTATTAGTTTGTTTTTATTCCTTTCTCCTGCAGTAAAGGCTAATCCTTTTCTCTCTTAGGGTGAAATAAAAGTCAGGCATAATGCCTCTAATGTTAATGGGGTTACACAGATGGGAATGAGAGATCAAGCCTGACTTGGCAAAAACAAAGGCAAATAGGAAAAAGTTAATCCAAGATCGTGTCAGCTCTGTCTGGGTATTAGAAAGCCCATTGCATTTTTCACGCTAGTGAGGAGAGCGGGAGGCGTTGTAACACAGGTTCCCTTGACTTTTCTCTCCCTCCCCACCTATCTGCTATAGTTGTTGGTTCCCTTCTACCCCAGAAGCATCTGCAATTTTGAATCTAACCTGAATGGAGCTGCAGAGTACAGGCAGTGAAGTAGGATGCTTAATTAGTAGCTTTTTTTTCAGCTTTAAACCCACAGTCCTATTTAATAACTGTTAGCTGTAAAGATAACTCATTTGAAGAGGGAATCTTCCTAATGAAAACTGAGACTTGGCACTGGAGCCAGGAGTCACAAATTCATACGTGCCAATATGTATTTTCCATAATAGAACTGTAAGTAGGTTGTTGGAAGCTTGGGCCAGAACTTCTGTTCAGTTAATGGTCCCAATGTCTTTCTTTTATGCACAGGTCCTTGATGCAGTCTTATCTGTGTCTTATTCAAACAGCCAATGCAGCAGGTTAAATTTGCAAGAGCCCTGAATGATTTGGGAGCCCAAATGACATTGACTTGCAAAGTGACTTGGGTTATGTCTACACAGCAGACACTGCTCTGATTCCAACCTGTGCAGACATACCCAAGTCAGCTCTAAGCTACGTTGCTTGGGTGCTGCTGGTCACGTAACTACAGCGGCACAGGGCTCTGTGTGGGTTGCCAAACCCAGGCGAGAAGCTGAGTGAATCCTTGGGTGGTGAGCCAGCACTGAGCTTCACGCTGCTAGTGATGTGCCACGAGCAGTATCTGAACTAGCTCACTGAAAGCTAGCTTGGGTAAGTCTCTGGGAGAGCAGTCATGACCGTGATTCACGGCAGCTCGCCAGTGCCTAAATCCCCTTTCAGAATTGTAATTGGGTGCACAGTACTTCTACAAATGGTGCTCAGTAGCTTGCAAAGTAAGAAAAATGCATTTCCTGTACAGAAACCCTGCTGTAGGTAGGATCCGTGTGCCCAGACAAGCGCCGCATCACAAAATAAACAGGATTACGTTCGCTCAGTTCCAAGCTGAAATTAGAGTTGAGAGACAAGTGACAGAAGTCAAGCAAATTTGCAAAGAACCATTTTGCACAACCAAAATCTAGGCATAGTAAACTATCTGACACACTGGTGGGGGTTAAATCTCATGTGCGTTTCAGCTCTTTGGAAATGGAGTCACTGAAGAGTCCCTTCCTTGCTTCCCTTTATTCAAGAAATAAGTATTCCAGCTCTGGGGAGTGCTGTAACAATTGCTTTGTTATCTTATTTTTGGATCTAACAATAGCAATAATATGGCTGATGCTGATTCAATTCTGATTCTCTCAACAGTGTTTCAAGACAAGGGCTTAAAGTGGGAGTTAAAGTAAGAAACTGTAACAGAAAGGGAGCAAACTGCAAACTCAAGCACCGCTTATGCAGCATGGGTGCAAGCATGTACCTCAGTTCCACTTGGTTTATATAATCATTGTACTCTGTGACAGCTATTAAGTCTCCGTGAAACGGGCTGTTTTTAGACCCAGGAAAATGCACTTGCAATCAGACAAGATTGCAATTCCCATTGTCAATGGAAACAAAAAAAAAAACCTGATGTGGGTTATATTACCGCAGTGAATTGAGTGACTGACAGCAGTGGCTAGATTTGTAATTTCCAGGATACTTGAAGAATTCACACCATCAAACTGTTCAGCAAAATAAAGGCAAAATGTGCGCTCTAAATCATTTCTATAGCACGCTTGCCAGAAGATAGGAAGCTGCCTTCTAAAGAAGCAACAAGCCTTATGCCAAAGCCAATGAGAAAACACATTTTTCAAGCTTAGATGTTTATGTTAAATTCAAGCACGCACAACATAACAGACCTGAAACTGGATCGTGCAAGTAGCTTTACAAATCTTGTACTTGAGAATACAGAGCCGAGCTTCTAGCAAAAGTTTACTGCAGCTGCAAGTGGCCAGCACCCCTGACAAAATCAGGCTGGTAGTCATCTCCTTTGGAAAATACCTTGCGGTGTCAGAGCTGTAACAGGAAGGCCAGGACCTAACACTTGGAGCACCATAAGAGGCCTGATCCATAAAGGTGATTGAGCACACCCTCGATCATTGCTAGATTTCCCTAGATCATTGCTAGGGAGCTGAGCTGGCGTAGGATTGGGCCTGAACATCACGGCAATATTGCTCGCAGAACTCCACAAACACCTCCCTGCAGATTGCTCAAAAGCATTTGCAGTATAGCATTTCATTTGTATTTTGACAGTGGGGACTCGAGTCCTCTCATCTGCAAAGCTCAGACACCAGGTTCAAACCCTCGCAGGGCCTCACTTGAGCATCAGGTTGTAATTCTGTTCTTAATCATCTTTTCAACACCTAGATAGGAAGAGGCCAAATCGACGTGCCCTTTGGCTAGAAAATTATGCCTCTCCAATCACCTACAACTCTTTGAGCAGGAAATTAGAAAGAATAACTACAACTAATTGTAGGGTTACTTGTAGTTAAAAGAAGACAGTTCTGTCAGTGAGGTAAGCAGCTATGACACTCATGACATGGGATGCAATTTGCCCTCTGCACAGAGATCCTGTTTCCAACTGGAGATCTAATTTGAGGACTTTAGTAGTGCACAAGTTCCATGCCTACCTCTGCAAGGGGATGCATTTCAACCAGGGAGCATATTTGAGTAAGATTTCCAATCACCCAGATAAACACAAGCAGTCATGGAAGAAACCCTAAATCTGCACACACCTTCAGTCAACTTTGTGGCCAGCAAGACTGTTCCCAAACTGAGACAGTGACTTCTTTTTGCATTACTTGGTTGAGGAAGGGTGAATATGAACATAAAACAGAAGCCAATTGCTAGTCTGACATCCCAGCCTTGTGCATTTTTGCAAATCAACGTGTGACATCACTGCCTCCTCTAGGGAAAGCCCATTGCTTTGACTGTTGGGATTTTAGAAAGATTTTAATGAGGTATGTTTGAATCACATAGCAGTGTGGGCTTTATTAAGCCTAACTAAGATGCAGTACATCATCTGCACACAGGGAACTCAAATAATCTTCTGAATGTCAAATGTGTAACAATGAGTTCATAGATGACCCTGCAGATCCTTCGCAAGTTGAATAAATCAGATTAATGTCTGTGGATGATGTAATTAGTCACCCCTGAAGGTTTTTAATTAGTCATTTTAAATCTTTGGTAGCTCTTTATTTTCAGTCACTCTAGTCTTAATGTGTTTAGTTGTCTGAAGAATGTTACTTTTGTCCCCGCAGGGCAAAATATAATATTTAATCTACTGCAATATGAAGGCCAAGGTGTGGAGTAT